TTCATTGACATTCACTTACTAGTTTAAAAGTTATAGCATGAAAACTACAACAAGCACAAAATGGTTACGAGGTCAGTCCCAGGGACTGAGCCCATGCTGGAAGAGAATCTATAAACTGTAAAATAGCTTTAGTTAAGTACACAATTATTAGGTGGGTAAGTTGGAAATACAGGATAATAAGCAATAAAATTAAATATTGTTAGAGTTACTTCTGAGGTAACTGGGGTAGAATTTATGATTGTGACTTTAAAGGGGCTGAAAGACATAATACACTGCACCTGCAGAATTTGCTTACTTAGGGATCAGTTGAATATAGCTTTGTAGAATATTGCTCTATTAGAAGATTGGGAGCAGAAATTAAGGACACAAAATAGAATTAGAATAAAGGAAGGATGAGAACGTGAGTGCTAGTTTTACAGGATTCACAGCAGTAAAAAAGTGAAGGCTACAAAGACATGTTCAGATAGCATTGAGGTACCAGTCTTGATTAATCTGAATCATGCATTGAAGAAAGAGATGAACAAGAGGTTTAAGTATACAGATAGGGTTACATGTATCTTCAATGGAAAGAACAGAAAGACTAGGACTAGAATTTGCTTGTCAGGTGCTAAGGAAGAGAATATTATAAAACATGTTTATAGTTTAGTTCCTTGTACCAAGGACCACTCTCTTTTTGTAGTGCATATAGAAGCAAATATGTTGGAAATTGTAGATAGAAGAGTAGCCCAATAAGTACAAAGAACTCCTTCACAGGTTTAGGGATAGAAAAAGACATGTGGTCTTTTTTAGTAGGGCTCCCTCAAAACAGATAAAGGATCAAATTACTTAGCAGGATTAGTATGGATATGATTAAAGCAACAGGGGCTGGTTAGACCTGTGGGATAGTTTTCATGGTGCAGGTAAAATATACAAGTTATATGTTAGAGATGAACTCCACTTGAGCAGGTCAGGTTAAAGCATGTATGGGGAAATTATAAACATATTCATTAAAGATAGTTTAAACTAAACTTATATGACTTGGAAAATTAAGAATAAATAAATTAAAAGGATAGCTAGTTCAACAAGGAAGTTTGGAAAAATGAGTTTCAGATCATAACAAATTATATAATTCTTTTAAAGAAAAATGCATCAGATTTAAAAAGAAAATTAGAAGCATCAAGAATAAACTTAATTGCTATTACAGTAATGTTAAATAGTATTAAGAACAAAACAGAAGCATTTAGGTCTCCGGTTGAGATGAAAGACTATTGTGTAATGGGAGTTACTAAAACATGGACAGATTATAAGTTATTTCACAATGAAACTATTTTTAACATGAAGGCAGTGTTTTTTTGTATAAGGAACCATCAGCAGCCAATTAGGATTGAATAAATAAAAAATGATAGCTAAGAGGTTGAATCTATATTGGTTATAATCAAGGCCTTCAAGGGTGGAAGTTTTTAAATGGCATTTCTTATAGACAACCTGATCAAATATGGGTTATTGAAATATTGTACAATAATTTCAGGATTGCTACTAATAAGAACACCGATACATTAATTGGGAGAGAGATTTCTGGAAATGATTCAAGATGACTTATACCAAATGGTCAGAAAACAAACCCTGGAAAGCCCAATTTTATATTTGGCTGGAGACGGCTTAAATGAACAAAACAACCCAACTCTAAACCAACACCCCGGGGTGCCTAGATACCTCTTCTAAGTTTCACAACAGTTCCGGTCATGTGACTTCTTTAGTTCAATCTGTATATATATATCTGTGTTTGT